TGGATTCAATGTTTGTGATGAGGAGTTGTACACATCAAATATGCATGCCAAAATGAAAAAGACTCTAAAAATCATCATTTTAATGCGTGGTTGCATTGAAAAATCAATTTTATTGTGTAAACATCATCTTTTTGATGTTTTACCATGTAGTTGGCCTAAGAGTGAAAGAGCTTGGGACAAAACACTCAAAAGTGGTTGTCTTAGCTTGCACCTTGCCTTATTTCCTTTGAGAGATTTCTTCTCATTTGCTTGTTGTCTAAGCTCGATTTATTCTCATCATCCACATTAAATAATTTAACGAACCCTTTTGACATATTTAAAAATAAAATTCAAAATGTATAGAAGACCGAAAATGAATTAATTTCAATTTTCTGCCAACCAAAACGGTTTTAATTCATGTTGATCTACATTACCTCAAATTCAAATCCCTTTCAAATAATTTCATTACCAATATAGAATATATGGGAGTCTATGCGAAGAACCCAACACAAAGGATGCCCGGTATGTGCTACTTTCTTACACATCGATTCTGACATGGATGAGATTGCCACACATGAACACCAGCCCGATGGGGTGTAATCGTGTTATGGAGTGAAAATATTCGGGGATGATCACAGAGGTTGTGGTTGGTTGAAACCAATTGATTGACTATGTTCCTCACATCTCTATTTCTCCTTATCGCCCACTTTCTTTCTCTGTCTACATCTCGTTCTTCCCCACTCTTGCTGAGTGTCAGGTCCTTGTTCGGCACACCCAAAGCAATAAGGGTGGGGGGGGGGGGGGAAGGTTTTAGGGTTTGGTGAATAGAATGAAATAAGGAAGAAAGCGGGTATACAACTGATAATCTCGCTCAAGAGAATCCCATGCCCAAATTTTGGTTTTTAGCACAAAAGGTGTAACACTCGGGTTCGAATCGCTTCATTATTCGGGAGCTTGGCCCGATCATTATTTATCATAAGGCTTAGGGCCTTGGGGAAGAATGTATTTGACCCTTTTTGGATGTGGGTGTTATAGTCTAAGTGATCCGAGTGTTCGATGGTGTTTCGGAGCCCAAGGGTATAATCGTAATTTGATAACTCAGTCCTTTATGAATTTTGGGTTTTGGTTCGGGAAGTTTTAAGGCTAAGGTGAGTTTTGAGAAGTGTAGGGATTCTCTTCACCTTTCCATGGATATAAAGTTCGTCGGAAACGGACTTAGAACGAAGGAGTTAAGTCCAAATGAAGTTTTAGGGTTTTAAAGGTTCAATGAGTACGTGGGGCGTACTCGTCGTGTACGTGGGAGTAATGGTTAAGTTGGTTACGGGTAGTCTTTGAGTACGCCGAGCATACTAAGGGGTACGCGGGGCGTACTCCCTTCAGCACCAAACCCTAATTTTGGGGTTTTACCCCCATATAAGCAACATTATATCCTTCCTCTGGACATTTTAGGCCAGCCTCCACCCCCTTTAGCATACATTGAAACCCTAGAGTGCCTTGAGTGAGTTTTGGAGCTTGGTAGAGTGTTTATGGTGGTTTGTGTAATTGAAGACTCTTTTCTTGGAGAGGAGCTTAGATATCCAGTGTTGGCATCTTCATTTCGTGACTTTGGAGGTATAAAATCCCTATCTTGTCTACTCATTGTATCGATCTTCTTTTGGGATTGTTTATGGTCATTTTAGCCTCTTTTGGTTGGTCCTTGTGAGGTAAGGTTGTTTCAGAGGCTTAATCTTGTAGATCTGGACGTTTTAGGTGTCCCAAAGGCATAAAAATGTGATCTTTATGGTTTATTTGGACTCATGTATGTGTTAAGACCCCTCATTAAGGTCTTTTGAGCTCTAGAGCCCCATTAAGCCATGCATTCAAGTAAAGTTGCCAACTTTACGTGATAAGTCATCCATAGGAATCAGATCTGAGAGTTTGGAGCATGGACTTAAGTGGTTAAGTGCTTAATGGAGAAGAATGGGGTCCAGGGGAGTACGCTGGGCGTACCCATCTGGTACGCTGCACGTACTGGCCCCAAAGGGTGTACGCTGGGCGTACCAGCTGAGTACGCGAGGCGTACTCGGCCTTTTTGACTTTTCTTGTTTTGTCGACTTGTTGTCCATGAATCGTTGACCAGAAGTTTGACCAGGGTTGACCATTGGTTATTTTGAGCCTTTTAGGATATTGGGCCTTCTTGGGTTAGGCCCATAATGGGTTTGGGCCCAATTTGGATATTTGGGCCTTATTGGGCCTTGTGGTGTCATTTCGGGCTTGGGCTATCTTTTAGGCTTGGTTGCTTGGGGCATTGTTGGGCCATCTGGAATAAGTGTTTTGGATTAGGGAAAAGTTAATGGGCTTTAGAGTAAGGCCCATGTAAGAGTTTGGGCCCAATTTGGAAAATTGGGCCATAAGTGGGCTTCAGATGATTATTTGGTTTGTGGGCCTTTTTGATAGTGAGTTTGGGCCTTAGTCTTGGACCAAATTAGGTGAGGGGTAAAATGGTCTTTTTACCCCATATATGGATTGTTGGATATGGATTAGAATCCAAATGTTAATTGAATGTTATTTATGCTTGATAGCGCGAGGATTCTAGCAGATCTGCAGTCAGAGATTTATTCGTGGGTTCAACTGTCGAGGTGAGTCTCTTCACTGTACTATGGGTCGAAGTCACCAATGCCGGCCCATTTGGTTTATGTATTAATGGAAGACCAGGGGGTGGCCCTTGACATTTGTATGAAAGACCAAGAGGTGGCTCCTGGAAAATCTGTATGCAAGACCAGAGTTTGGACTCTTGCAGTTAAGTAGATAAGTAGTTTTAGATTGTATGCTAGTTGTCTTTGTGATGCTTTCATGGAAGACCAGGAGGTGACTCTTGACACTTGTCTGTAAGACCCAATGTTTTGGTTCCCGACCTGGCAAGGAAAGACCATGATACGGCTCGTGGCAAAATGGCAAGACTATGGTTGGCACATAGCACCTCCTATTGCATGTTTGATATGTATGACTCGTATGTTATGTATGATATGTGGTATTTTGGGGAACTCTCTAAGCTTTGTGCTTACAGTTTGTGGTTTATGGTTTCAGGTACTTCCGGTTCGAAAGGGAAGGGCCCGACTTGATCGCAGCGCATACACCCGTGTTTTCCACAAGTCGTGATTTTGGGATTATACTCTGATAATTGTTTTATTTTGAAATACTTTCAAATGTTTGAATAAAGGATAAATGAGTGTTTTGATTATATTAAAATGAAAATTTACCTTCATTTTTTGAGGTGTTACAAAAGGCTCCTAAGTCCCGGTCTTTTACATTTAGTGGTTTTATGTATGGTTTTAATGTAATTTTTTTATTAAAAAAATTGTTTATTTAAGTTTAAAATTATGTTTTTATATTTAATCTAATGTTTAAAAAAATAAAAAAATAATAAGTATAAATGATTTGGAATGGTAACCATTTTCAAAGGCTAGTGGTGTGGTAGTAAGGATATAGTAAAAATATGTGGCGCTGATATGACATCACTTTTCAAATAAGAATGTCATGACGATACATACCCCTTAGGCTAGAAGGAGTGGTGATGTGTATGCTAAGATGACATGTCATTTTTTTTACTTGACACCCCTTAGGCTAGAATGAGTGGTGATGTGTATGCTAAGATGATATGTTATTTTTTTACTTGACACGTAAGTATAACATGATGATAGAGAGTGGCAGTGTGTCTTAACATGGTTTTGAAAAAAAAAATGAAATATCAGCCAATCAAAAGAAAACCACGCACCTTCTCCTCTCTGTCTCTCTCTGTCTTCTCTCCTCATGCTAATGAGTTGGTGCAAACCGTATGCATGTACTAAGGGTTGGTGTTGGCTGGCACGATGGCGAGGAGCTTTGCGCATGCCACTAAGGCTAGAGGGAGTAGTAACTCGTAACACCTTGCCACATATGATTTTTTGATGCCACATAGGCTGAAGGAAGTGGTAATAAATATGTTTTATTTTGAAAAAGAAAAAAGTACAAAAGAAAAAAAACAACCAATAGTTTTTGTAGTTAAAAGATAAGCAGTCAATCAAAACAAAACTTCCTCTCTCTCCTCTAGTTATGCATGTAACAAGCTTATCTTAGCACCTTCCTTAGCAAATGCTAAGGGGTAGGGGTGATGGCAGTGCGATTCGGTGCAGTTATTAGCCAAAACTTCACCAATAACCGCAAATGCGGTTAATCCATTTTCAAAACCGCTTGGTGCAGTTATTTTTGTGGTGCGGTTAGACGGTTATTTTTGCGGTGCGATTTTGGTTTTTTTGTGTTGCGGTTATTAACCGCATGGATTTGGTGCGATTATTTTGTATGGTTTTTAACCACAGTTTAAAACTCAAACGGTTTTAAGAGTTCAATAATATTACTTGTAATAATAAAAAATAATAAGGTATAAGACAATTAACTTAAATCACAAACAACTAATATCTTAAAAACGTCAAATCAAGATAGTAATTAACAATAAATATCTTAAAATTGTCAAATTTCACCATTTTTCAAAGTTAAACGTAACAAAAAACCAACACTTTTGTTTTCTAGTATTTTATCATTCTTTCATCAATGAAACTTGTCTTATTTTTAATATTTAATATACTAATAACTAATAAAAAAAATTGTATATAATATATGCGGTACGGTGCGGTTTTTTGCGGTTTTTGAAAACTAATAACCGCACCGCACCACAAATTTGCGGTTTTTGGAAAACAGAAAACCTCACCATCGGTTTTTATTGCGGTTGCGGTTTATCGATTGCGATTTATGCGATTAATTTTAGTTACGATGCGGTTTTTGCTCCCCCTAGTAGGGGTGGTGTTTGGCAAGCTTAGCTTAGTGAGTTTAACACCCCGAGTGGCTAGTCTTACCCTATCTTGTGATCAAACTAGAAAGTCAAACAGAAATCCAAAAGTCAAACATGTTAGAATGCGAAAGAATCTTTAAAAACATAGTAGGCTGCTCTCACTCTCTGTCTTCTCCCCACGAACGACCAACATATAATGAATCTTCAAACAAATTTAATGGAAATCACATCAAAAGCAATTCAGTCCAAAACCATTTCTTCTTCCCAGAATCCTAAATCGCCTCGCCGGCATGGATGTTTTTGCGTCCAATCCTCCACCATCCGGTTGCCACTCCACAGACCTCACCGGAAAATTATCCAACCGGTCAATAACCCGCCAAGCAAACTAATTTCAACCACCGCCAGTACCACTACTTCCTCTGATATTTTACGGTTGTTGGACTGCCTTGGTCTTCCAGTCCCCGATGCTGTATACATTTCTCTCATCAAAGAATGCACCCACTTTCGCGACTCTAATGAAGCTGTTTTACTACACGCCCATCTTACCAGGAATCGTCGAAATCAACCTCGTTTACCTTTACTTAATCACATCTTGATTATGTTCTTATCTTGCGGGTGTATACAGAACGCACGCCAGGTGTTCGACGAAATGACAAAAAGAGATTTTAACTCTTGGGCGATAATGATTGCGGGTTATGCAGATAGCCATGATTACGAGGAAGTAATCAATCTGTTTTCAAACTCCCAACTGCAATATTTGATGGATTGTAGCAGCAGCGTCCCTGTTTCTTGGGTTTTGGTATGCGTTCTTAAAGCTTGCACTAACACCTGGAACTTGGAACTTGGCAAACAAATCCATGGCTGTTTGCTAAAATCAGGTTATTCAGACGATCTCTTTGTGGGTAGCTCGTTGATCAACCTTTATGGAAAGATCGGATGTTCTGAAGATGGGGATTTAGTTTTTGATCAAATATCTTCTCATAATGTTGTGGTTTGGACAGCTAGAATCACTAAAAACTGTAGGGAAGATAGGTTTCATGAGGTTATTGATGTATTTAAAGAAATGGGGAAAGAGGGTATAAGGAAAAACAGCTTTACAATCTCTAGTGTTCTTAGTGCATGTTCAAAGATAAGTGATGATGGAAACTGTGGTGAACAAGTTCATGCCAATGCCATTAAATTAGGGTTAGCATCCAAGAGTTATGTGCAGTCTGGATTGGTTAACATGTATGGAAAATTTGGGTTGATTGAAGATGCAAAAAGGGTTTTTGATATGAATGGAGTGAAGAGAAATAATGCATGTTGGAACTCTATGTTTACTAGTTTTATACAAAATGGATGCCTTGTTGAAGCCATTAAGTTTCTTTATGAGATGAAGGCAGCTGGGGTGGAGCCTCAGGAATTGTGGGTCAACAAATTAAGGTCTTTGTGTGGGAGTCTTGAAATCAAATAGCCAATTAATGAGAGTCCGATTAGAGTAACATATTGGAAATAGTATGATTATACCTCATGTTTTTGTTGCTTATATATATGTCTATATACGTGTAATATCATACCAAAACACATCTATGTAATGAAGCCCTATGTAAATTCAATGAAATATTTAGCTTACTATACCATAGGAATCAATTAGGTTGCGTATAATGCGGGTAGCCGTGACAATGGAGAGGGTTTTGACCCTGATCCAATCCAAATCCTTAACAATTATACGGGTTTGGAGCATAGTTTTTGATCCGTTTACCCGCTAACGACCCGTACCCGCTAACCCTTTTATTAAAAGGGTCGGGTATGGATCATCACCGATCCGCTCCGTTTATAATCCGCCCCATATAAATTTTAGAATTATACATTTATATTTATATTGCCTAAAGTTTACATTAAATTCCAATCGGAAGTCCAAAGAGAAAAGGCCAAAAACTAAACTGTTTTTACATAGGACTCGAGGACTCAACTTCTAGACTTTCAGTCTTCTCCCAAGAGTCATGATTTCATTTCATTTATATTTCATCATGTAAGCACCAATTTCATTTATAAATCAATAATGTCATTTATCAACCAAAAGAAAGTTTGTAATTGCTATTCTTTATCAATGCAATCGACGGTCAAAAACCAATCGGAAGTAACTAAAATAGTGATTTTAATTCCAATAGAAAGTCCTCGAGTACATAATGTGTTTTCTTAATCAACATTTAGTTTTATTTAGGAAATGTGATTTTATGATTGAAGTGAAATGTGTTTGATTATTCAAAAAACCTACGGGTTACGGGGCGGGTTTGGATATTTGTTGATTCGGTGGATAAGGGTATGCGTTGATTATTCAAAACCCTACGGGTTATGGAGCGGGTTTGGATCGGATTTTTAAATTTGTTAAAAGGGTTTGGATCAAGGTCGATTCGCTCTAAACCCGCCCCATTGCTAGGTCTAAATGCGAGACTCGATTGGAAGGGATTGGAAAATCTTTCTATAGCTATTTTTAATGCAAGAATGAGAAGAGCATTCTTGTGAATTGTACATACATGATTAGTAAGTAAAATTGAACACATTTTACGAATGTGTTTAGATAAATGGTAAGTATACCACTAGTTACCATACAAAATCAAAGCATACATACGACGAAGTAGCAAAGCAAGCTTTGATTAGAGATAAAACAAAACGAATCAAGGTTGTAGCATCATGAATTTCTAGTGCCTTACTTCGTAATGGCAATTCATTACTTTATAATCTATGGAAACCAATTTCTATAGAATAAATGTAGTATATTGAGTGGTCAAAGTATAAAAGTAAAAAAGATATGTAGTCCAATTTTCGTGGAACAATCTTGTGATTTCCTTTATCCATTTATTCAACTTAATCATCTTCTTCACTAAACCTTCATGCATTTTCTGTTCTATATTTTGATTATGTGTTGAACATCAAATTTGTTTGTGTATGTCTTTTGGGAAAATCTAATTGTGAGTCCTTAGTTGTTTCGAGCTTTTTATACATAGTTTCATAAATATATGTTTTGCACATTTTTTGTATTGATTGTTTAGTCACTACTATGCTCTACATGTCATTCCATTGAATTTTGTTTAAGCTCTAACAACTGGTGTCAACAATTGTGGTGTCAGGGTAGGAATCATTCATCGTTTTGGGACATTTCTTCAGCTTTGATTACTTGTTCATCAAGTTCTCATCACATCCAGTTTTATTGTTCTATGAATCTTAATATCTGAAGTTTTTGTTGTTTTTGTTGATTTATCAAATCCTATTTCTATTAAGGAAATTTTCAATCAACAAGTTGTCACTATTAACTATTCAAACAATTGTGTTTCAAATACCAACGCACCAATGTTATTTCGATGTGATTATGATGATTGGGTTGGTAAAACAGAAAACTACTTGTATGCTCTTGATGAAGATGTCTAGAGATCCATCAACTAAGGTCCTCACATGGCTCGACTAGGTGTCTGTTTTGGAGTTGATGGTGCTGAAGAGGCTTTTATGTTCTGTTGATAAGAAGAAAATCAATAACAACCGTGAAGCCAAAAGAGAACTTCGTTATGTTATTCCACCAAACATCAACTCCAATTTGAAAAAATGTGTATCTGCTCATAAAATATGGAACAAGTTGAAGGATCTATATGAAGGAAATGAGAAAAAAAGAAGTCTCACATGACGAACTATTTGACTGAGTTTTGTGAGTTCAAACAAAAAGCTAATGAAACTCTGGAACAAACCTGTGACCTTTTCAAAGAGTTCATTACAAACCTCGAAACCGATCAAGTTGTTAAGAATCAACATGAATTAAATATAAATTTCATGTAGCCTCTACACAAGAAATGGATACGCACTGTTTCGATGGTAAAAATCCAGTAGAAATTTGATTTGTACACTTTGATGGATTTGTTAGACATACATAATACTCAAGAAGAAGATATCATGGTCCTCTTATGTTGGTTTCGATGGAAGAGATTTCAAAACAATATGAATCTAATAATGAAGCAAAGTCTGAAAGGCCTGAAGATAATGAACATGATCTTTATGTTGACAATAACAAGGCCAATAAGTTCTACAAGAAGCCTTCGCCAAACTTTCGTTCGAACAACCCTAATAGCAAAAAGTCTGTTTTGAAACCCAGTTTCTGATAGGTTTTATACACAAGAACATCCTATGTGCTCATGCAAAACCCTAAAGCTTGGATCTAGGTTTCTCCATTGTACATGCAATTCATCCAAGTCTTATAAACCCTAGATCAAACATGCTATGAACGAAATAAAGGGTTTAGATATTACCTTTGATTGTTATGTAGCAATAACAATCTATTCCTACTTGTAATTGGCTTCAGAAAGCATAGTGCCTCAAGTGTAGCACCTCTAATGGAGTCACAAACACCACTAGCAATAAGGATGAAGAAGGAGGGAGAAGAGAGGCACAAAAACGTCTGGAAACCCTTAAGAATAAGTTCACCACGTTTTTGGGGCTTAGGGGCTCCTTTATATAGGTAGGCTATTAGGGTTTTCAACTAGGAAACCCTAATTTGACTGCTTAGGCCTTAAAAGCCTTGGACGAATTCTAATGGGTTTCCCCATAGATTTCGTCCACTCCAACTTCTATTGAGTCCATCAGCCCATTTATGTTATTATCTTATAATTACAATATCAGTCCCCTTTATTTAATTAATTTCTTTTAGCCACAAAATTAATTCCTAATTAATTCTTGACTAATATTAATTAAATAATATGATTTCTCCTTTAATATATTATTCTCATAATATATTAATAAATCATAATTTATCCTCTCTCTCCATAATTCATCCTACCAGTTGATATGGTGAAGGCAACCCAAAAGGACCATGCTCATAATCGGGTCAAATACATACCAAAATAGTTATGGACTTAGACACTAATCCAACAGTCTCCCACTTGGATAAGTCTAATAACTATTTGCATGACTTCATAACCTGATCGGCAATCGTAGCTCTCAAAAGCCGTTGTCAACTCTGATCTTATCAGAAGCGTGTACTTTAGATAAGGGATCATATATTCCTCCATTCTAGATATTGTATAGACTGAAACATGGATTTTAATCATTCTCTCTGTCTATGTTTTGTTTCCCGACTTCCGATTTATGACGACTGACAACAGACTACAATTGAACACATCAACTTAGTCCTGGCTTGGCCAAGCGCTTAGGGTGTCATCACTAAATCATCGAGGAGCCCACATATATCGCTTTTATCCAACTTTGGTTAAAAGGAATGGATAAACGTTGACTCATATTCTTGCTCTATTTACTCATCAAATCACACACAACAATACGTTTTATAACACCAAGTTACTGGTGCGTTTACATATTATCAATGTGCAACCGATTCGCAAACTACAACTCATATATCTTCGTTTTAAGAATATAAGATATTATCGTCTCACTAATCACCCGTGACAAAATCCATGAAGTGATTCTAGTGAGTGTGGGTTTAATCCAATACTTTAATCTTATTAAAGCACTCATGAACCTCACAGCAAACTTTTGCTTATGTCTAAACACTTTAGACAATCTACAGACATATTCATGACAGTCTTACTTCATACCTACTTCCAATGTATGACCGACTGTGGAGGTTTGAATAACCAAGTTATTCTGGAAGTCAAAACATGCAAAGTGAAACAAAATAATAATACTTAATCCTATATGGCCCCAAACTTTTGAGTATAAATAAAACACTTCTTATTTAGTCACCATATTGATTACTCATTATTGATTGTATAATGTTTCAGATAATCAACTTGACATTTGAATTATAACAATAGTAGTCTCATGCCCCAAGCATGCACACTATGTTTACCTATGGTCCTTACTTTGTGAAATAGATCAATTGAAAAACATTTCCAATGAAACTCATTTCACAATTTCCAATCCTCTTTGTTAGTTGTAAGAATACAAAATTCTCGCCACTACTAGAATATGTTAGATTCTAACATTTTATGCAACGATCCTTTCATAATGTCATAGCACAAAAGTCACCAAGACTCGGTCAATGAAATTACAAAGTGCTTTTAATGAAGTCTCTCATTCAAAGTACATTCCTCTGAACATCCTTCTTGCATAAAAGTTTCTAATCTAGACATAGATTCTTAATATCCAACTCCCATTTATGGAAACATTTCCATATTTGCCATATGACAACTCATTCTAAATAGAATCTTATCTATTCCTAATAATGTCGATATGGTCCATCCAATACTATACTTCCAACTACTCACAAGCGACAAATCCTTAATGAACCTCAGATCATCCTTTGACAGTTGTTTAACTAATTTAGTCAATTCCGGTTCTAGTCCTTTTCCCTCTTAATGCTCTAGGCATTTGGAAAAACAGAACGGTCGGATATTATAGCATATGCAATTGATCCTATACCCGAAGCGTATGGGACACAATTCATGATGTCTTACATAAAGACGTGATACTAGA